GACCAAACTGATGAATATTAGAGACAGTTGTCATGACACTGGTAAGAGGGGCCCCATCTCCACATCTGGCTCTCGTTCAATGCTCCTTGTCATTTCACTGTGTTTCCCTCTTCTCCTTATTGATTAAAATCTAGCACTCCACTTCCAAGTCCCACCACCATCCTAGGTGACTCAAGTTTACCTGAACAAAGCAGTCTCCCAATTTCTCCATCCCTGCCTTGGATAATTGTCATCTCATGAAATTTGTGTGAAATTTCTTTTCAACTTCACACTCAAGGACATCTTGGTATCTTGAAAATAGCTACTGTGAAACTAGTTACACAATGGACACTGGCAAACAGGAGAGCTAGGGCATTTTTTTCTGACAGTTGGTTGCCACCACAGCTGTTCCACACCATTTCAACCTGCAAATATCATGACTGTGCCTTGACTCTCTCCATCATTATCAGTATCTGAAAACTTACAATCTGATCTTTTTCTCCTGGACTACAACTCTGTGCCTGCTCAGCTTCTCTACTCAGCAGCAAAAGTAAATTCTGTAGAAAAAGTAAATTTTCAGTGACTTCCCTGAACAGCTGCCTCCTCCCTCTACTTCCCAATCTGATTTGGTCTTCTTGATGATCACCCGAACGCTTCTTGTGATAATAACATCACAGCTCCACTCTTTGCTCTTCCTGCTAAAACTCCAAACCTCCTTTGTTTAATCCTGTTTTCTCCTTTCGGAATCTATGGGCCAGTCCTTAAATCTGAAACTGGAAATATTTTAATGTTTAGTGCCTCTACTTTTTTTTGTGTCACAGATAAGCAACATATTTTAGCACAAAAGGTAAGATCAAACACCTGCAGACTTGTTTTTCTCTTTGACAGCCTCCTTTGGAAACAGAATAACTGCAGGTGCTCTATGCATTCTTTTATTAGTTTCATGACTTTGTGGTGGTGGGTATTTTCCCCTTTCTTTTTCTCTATATGATTGAAGTACTGTGCCTTTGATCTATTTTATTTTTATGGCAAGTTTTCCAGCTGTGTTAAATCTGTTTTTTGTCAGAGGGCATCAATATTACATTTTCCAAACACAAAAGTATTCTGCTGTAAAAGAGACAAAAACTCCTTAGTACCCAAACTTTGAAGTGTGGTTTGCCTTATGTGGCAACAGCCATAGCAATGAGGTTTTTTAAAAAATGTGTATGAGTCCATGCATGTAAGTGCACCAGTACATGCAGTGCCCGAAGAGGTCAGAAAAGGGCATCACATCCTCTGGAACTGAAGTTACAGGTGGTTGTTAGCCATCAAACGGGTCCTGGGAACCAAACCTGGGTCCTCTGCAAAAGCAGCCAGTGCTCGTAACTACTGAGCCATCTCTCCAGCCCCATAGTTTTTTTTTTAATATTTTATTATTTTTATTTTATGTGTATGAGTCTATTGTCTGCAGGTATGTAAGTGCACCTGTGTCATGCAGTGCCTGCAGAGGTCAGAAGAGGGTATTGGATCTCCTGGAACTGGAATTATGGAGTTATGGAGTTTGCATGTGGGTGCTGCAACTAAAACCTGGGTCCTCTGCAAGAGCAGCCAGTACTCTTTTTTTTAAGATAATTTATTTTTTTAATAAATAATTTATTGGGAATTTCATACATGCAAACAAAGTGTTCTGATCAAATCCATGCCCACTCCCTCCCCTCCAACTCCTCCCACATCTCCCCATCACATTTTTCTGATAATTTCATGTGCTCGTCTTCTTTATTTATTTACTTTTATGGGGCTTTTGGCTATTCTAACATTTCCCCCTCTGAAGAGGTAACCCTAAAATCTTTTAAGGATTAGATACAAGCTCCCAAATACTTTCGACATTTTTGGCCTTTGGAATAGAGTATGTTGCTAACAAGCTCAAGGACATTTTGACTTTTAGCCAAGAAAGTGGCTACTTTTCTTTGGGGTCTTTTTACCCTAACTGCCTAGCCAATTCCTACCTCCTATTCTTATCACACCATCCTCTGAAGAGGTTACCCAAATTGCCAATGGGGAATAGGGACGCAGACCGCTCTGGCTTCTTCCATGCTGAACAAGGACACAGGGTGAGGCAACTGGAGTACCCCTTCAGTGGGTCTATGTAAGACTCCCAAATTGCATAACTCTTATCTCTAAGGGGAAAAGAAAGTCCTTGAATCGTGAATAAGAGGATGTGAAGGAAAAGCAAAGGCAAGAGTAATTATAACATTACAAATTCTAGACAGGGAAATAGAAAAAAGTCAGAACAGGGCAATTTTCAAATGTTCATATGAGGGCTTCCAAAAGCATCCCTCTATTGGGTTCCTCATTTTTCTTTTGTCTTCCAAGGCTGGACTCAAAAGTGATGGATTCAGGATTTTCTTTCAGGTATTTTGATAGCTGTTGGAGTGGTTAGAATCAGGGTCAGTTCATTCTCAAAGGCTTCTAGATGGGGGAGAAAGCAAACTTATCCATCATTTTAGAACAATAGCTGGTTGTCTCCCTTAGCTGCAGGT